GACTGCAGTCGGAGTTGCCATCCTCATCCCCAGCATGTACCAGGTCTGCCTTGAGGATTGCTCGGGAATGGCCGACTACATTGCCAAGGTTCAGACCATTCATGGCGAACTCAAGGAGCTGGGTATAGTCTTCCTCGAACAGGCCCCTGCAGCAGCTCTTCTCGTTGGTCTCACCACAACCTATGAAATCACAAGGAAGATGCTCCTCACGCTGACTGCGGAAGACCTCACTTTTGCCAAGGTCTCCACCGCACTCCTCTCTGTCGAGAAAGACTCCACGGCTCAGGCCAAGGCTTACGCCATCCGTGCTCCCATGCCTCAAGCCAGTGTCGCATCGGCCCTTGCTTCGGCGCCCCTCCAGCGCAACCGCTTCCCACCGTGCACCTACGTCGTCAAGTATGGCAACCGCAAGGGACAAGTGTGTGGTGGCACTAACCACCCCCTCGCTACGTGCTTCAAGAAGAAGGACGGCGAATGGTACGCCATCCACGGCATAGACAAGAGGCCACCGAACTAGATGCGTGCGCGTAAGGCCAACCTGGTTGAGGTCCAGGACCCCGCTTCGGCTAGTGCTAGTGATAGTGCTCCTGCTGATGCCCGTATCAACCTGTTGTTCCCTGGCACTGCCATGATTAATGAAGCTTCCTCCCAGTACCTCGGCTCATCACAAGCACCACAATACATAGAGTTCACACTCGACAGCGGGGCCACACACACTGTACTCAAGGAGACACTCTCCTTCAAACCCTACGCAACACCCATCCCTCTGCTAGGAGCTGACTCAAGCTTCACCACTCATGCCAAGGGTTCATCCACAGTCCCGTGCCCCGCCTTCCCTTCCGGCACTGTCACTGGAATGTGCGTGCCTTCTCTCCGCCACAATCTCGTCGCCCAAACGGAAATTCAGGAAGCTGGACTACGCACCATCTTCTGGGAGAACGAGAACTATGGTGATATCCTCGACCCACTCACCAACAAGGTCTTGACTCGTTTCACCCTCAACAGCAGCGGCCTTTACACGCTGCAAGTACCCATCCCACAGGTGTCAACCACCCAAACAGCGGCGACTACCTCACCATGCTCGTGCCGCAGTTTCTCCAACCCGACCATACTCTACCACCATCGGCTCGGGCACCCAAACTTCCGCACACTTGCTGACATGGCCTCCAAGAAACTTCTACTCGGCCTGCCAGCCTCACTTCCTCCACCACCAGACTCCCCCGCTCCCACGTGCCTTGACTGCACCAAGAGCAAACTGCGTCAACAGCCCCACCCGGCCTCACCCTCTGTTGCAGCAGGACCACTGGACTTGGTACACCTGGACGTCTGGGGCCCTGCCCCTGTTCCCGCACGAGGTGGTTATCGCTACTTCCTTGTTATCGTCGATGACCACTCTCGCTACGTCTCTGTTCACCTCCTCCACACTAAGGCTGCGGTTCCAGAGGTCCTCATGGCGTGGGTTAAACAGGCACAGACCGCCTTTGACCGCAAAGTCAAGCGCCTCCACTCAGATGGTGGTGGTGAGTTTTGCAACGACAAGCTCAAAGCCTTCTGCTCTTCAGAAGGCATCCAGCAAAACTTCACCCTCCCTGACAGCCCGCAGCAGAACGGCATAGCTGAGAGCCGCAACCACACCCTGGTGCAGATCACTCGGTGCCTCCTCAGCCACTCCAACGCTCCACACTCTCTCTGGGGGTACGCTCTCTACCACGCCGCCCTCCTCTACAACCTTTACCCCCACCCGCATCTTCCCGACACCACTCCAACCACACTCTGGCTCGGGAAAACGCCCACTGCTCGCTCTCTTCGCGTTTGGGGGTGCACCGCCTATGTCCTCCTCAAACCTCAGGCTCGACGGCAGCACGGCGGCAAGCTCGGTCCCAAGACCCAGACATGCATCTACCTCGGACACAACGCCGACTTGCCTGACTACCTCTTCCTCAATCCCTCCACTCAGCAGTTGGTCCGGAGCCGCGACGTTGTCTTTGATGAGACCCGCCCATTCTACTCCACTTCGGGACGGGACCCTCTCCCTGACCCACCCTCCCTCGTGTGGGCAGACTTTGATGCGCCTCCTGACCTCTCGCCTGCTCCGGCCCCTTCACCCCCTACCCCTCCTGCCACCGCACCGTCCCCCTCTGCGGTCTCTGACCCGCCCTCACCGGTGTCTTCGGCAGCTGCTCCTCCATCCCCCTCACTTCCCACTCCGCCGACTGTGCAGCCACCTCCGAGCGCACCTATCACCTACTATCGGCGGTCCCACCCTCCGGCCCCACCTCCTCCCCCGGTTCCCCCCACCACAGAGGAACCCGCTCTCCCACAGTCGCCCGAGCTGATCACGTACCACCGGCGGCCCATTCCCCCGCCCAAGCCTCCTAAGTCAACCCCTCCGACACCGCCTGCCCCACCCTCTTCTCCGGTGGCTCATGGCACTCGTTCGCATGGCGCGGCTCTTCCACTAGCGCTGGTTCTTCGATACACGGCGATCACACCGCCTCCTCCTGCTAGGGGGGATGTGCCCTCTACCCTTCTGGAAGACAGGCATGAGGAGCTATGTGATCTTCATGCAGTCATTCCTCAGCTCTCGCACATCTTCCCCGACATCACTGACCCACCCTCCCTCAACTTCGCGGAGAACCCGACCATCCCTATCCCTCTCACCGTCCAAGAGGCTCTCTCAGGCCCTCATGCTGCCGAATGGCGTGCTGCCATGGAAGCGGAGATTGCAGCATTCACCCGCAACCACTCCTTCGACGACGAGACTCCACCTCCAGGAGTCAACATCGTCGGGGGCAAGTGGTTGTTCCGTGTAAAACAGCTCCCAGACGAGGCCCCGGTGTTCAAAGCGCGTTACGTAGCCAAGGGCTTCACCCAGCAGCAGTACCGCGACTTCTTCCTAACCTTCTCCCCCACATCCAAACCTCCCACCATTCGTACGCTCATGGATGTCGCAGCTCGAGAAGACTTTGAGATCAAATCCATGGATGCCTCATCCGCCTTCCTACAAGGACGTCTCAAGGAGAGAGTGTTCATGGACACACCAGAAGGCTTCCTAAGAGAATTCCCTCCCAACACTGTCTGGAAGCTGAATCGCCCCGCCTACGGCCTTAAGCAAGCCCCTCGCGAATGGCACAACAAGGTGAAAGAAGTCCTCCTCTCCCTGGACTTCCACCCTTCAACTGCTGACCCGACTCTCTTCATCCGCCGTCATTCTGAGCCATTCTACATCCTGGTCTACGTGGATGATTTCATCCTCGTTGCCAAGGACTCGGCCCAGATGACCTCTGTCCAGGCAGCCCTGAGCAAGGCTCTCCAGATGAAAGACCTCGGTGACCTCAAGCACTACCTGGGGATGGAGATCACTCGTGATCGCCAGGTTCGCACCATTTCACTCTCCCAGGAGTTCTACATCGACAATGTGCTCAAGCGGTTTGAGATGGAGCTGTGCACACCTGTTGCCACCCCGCTGCCGCTGCAACACCTTCTCACTGCTCCAGCTGTACCCACACCAGAGGCCTGCTCTGAGCCATACCCGGAGCTTGTTGGGTCCCTCATGTACGCCATGATGTGCACCCGACCGGACTTGGCCTATCCTGTCAGTGTCCTCTCTCGCTACGTGGCCCCTGGACGCTTCACTGATCTTCACTGGAAGGCGGCGAAGCGGGTGCTGCGCTATCTTCAGGGCACCAAGTCTCACGTTCTCACACTCGGTGGGCTCTCCCCTCCTCGCCTGGAAGGTTACACCGACTCCTCCTGGGCTGATGACCAGACCGACCGACGCTCCTCTCAGGGGTACTGCTTCACCCTTGGGAGCGAAATTGTCAGTTGGCGCTCCACCAGGTCGTCTGCAGACTCCCTCTCCTCCTGTGAGGCAGAGCTCTACGCAGGCACCATGGCTGCTCAGGAGGCCCGTTTTCTCAGAGCAGGAAGGGTTTTTGTGTAGCTGCTTCATTTGCACTTCAGGCTTGCAAAGGCCAGAACAGATAGGCATGTCCCAAACAGCCACAGCAGAGGGCGTGCATATATTCTGGCAGAGCGGCCAGCTCCTTTCATGTGTCACGTTGAAGGCGAGCATCCATGCCCCCATTGTCACGTCCTCGCTCACAAACATCCTCAGCCTGTAATGCAGAAAGAGAGCAGAAATTGGAGAATACTAGTTAGCGTTCAAGTTGAGGATTTTTTTTTGGCAGAAGGCATTCATGCCTTGCAGTGACATGCATGCCCTGCAGTGACATGCATGCCTTGCAGTGACATGCATGCCGTGCAGTGACATGCATGCCGTGCAGTGACATGCATGCCTTGCAGTGACATGCATGCCGTGCAGTGACATGCATGCCTTGCAGTGACATGCATGCCTTGCAGTGACATGCATGCCTTGCAGTGACATGCATGCCTTGCAGTGACATGCATGCCTTGCAGTGACATGCATGCCTTGCAGTGACACGCATGCCGTGCAGTGACATGCATGCCTTGCAGTGACATGCATGCCTTGCAGTGACATGCATGCCTTGCAGTGACATGCATGCCTTGCAGTGACATGCATGCCGTGCAGTGACATGCATGCCTTGCAGTGACATGCATGCCTTGCAGTGACATGCATGCCTTGCAGTGACATGCATGCCTTGCAGTGACATGCATGCCTTGCAGTGACATGCATGCCGTGCAGTGACATGCATGCCTTGCAGTGACATGCATGCCTTGCAGTGACATGCATGCCTTGCAGTGACATGCATGCCTTGCAGTGACATGCATGCCTTGCAGTGACATGCATGCCTTGCAGTGACATGCATGCCTTGCAGTGACATGCATGCCTTGCAGTGACATGCATGCCTTGCAGTGACACGCATGCCTTGCAGTGACATGCATGCCGTGCAGTGACATGCATGCCTTGCAGAGACATGCATGCCTTGTAGGAGGGGGAGCAGACCAGTCACAGGCGCACATCACCGCAAGGCATGCACGACTTGGTGGCTACAAGCATGGATAATGGAAAGGAAGTCTCACCTGCCGTTGGGAACGGAGTTGAGGATTTTGACGACGCCGTAGGAGAGGGAGTAGATGTTGCTGTATGCATGCAGGAAATACTGCGGCCCCAGCAGTCGTGAGTTCGGCTCAAACCTGCCAAGACCAAAACACGAGAAAACCAAAACAGGAAAGAGGTCAGAAGTGAGTATGAGGATGAGAACAGCAGCAGCAGTTGTTCGTCCGGCAAACATAAGGACACCTGAAGTTAGTATGGGATGGGACTGTGATAGAAAGCATTAGGAACACTAGGAATGCACAACTTGTTTAAAACCTCGGTACACCGTAAGCTGCTGCATGGGCTGAGAAGGTTGCCGAAAGAATTGCCAGCAAGCGCGATCCAGGTGTAATATCGCAACTCACTCGCTCATGTCGGGGTTGGTCACCACGGCTCCATTCTTGAAGCATCCAAGGTACGTTCGAGGTGACTTCCTTGGCATGGCGACCAGAGAAGCGAGGCGGTCTGCAGAGATGAACAGAAACAGCCAGCAGAGGGTGGGACTGGTGTGAGTGAGTAAGGACTCTCTCAAAGCTGCCAATAATTGCCAGCCATATTGTGTGAGCAAGGACGCTCAGTGTCGCCGGCAACACATGATATGATCCTCAATTCTTCAGAGAGAGAGAGAAAAAAAGACATTCTGCAGCAGCACAAAAAGCATTTGCATGCACACACAGTCCCAGTAACAGCAGCAGCCCTCCGCCACGTGAGTCTCAAATGGACGCCCAGATCTGCCTGCCTTAGGATGTGCCTGCCTTAGAGACCCGTTCCATAGCACTTGGGTTGTCGTAACTCTAAGCCTCACTCACTCACAGAGCATGGGAAGATTTAGATGAGCGCACCTGGTATGAGGTAGATGTCGTCGTCTGTCTGCCTTAAAGCCCTGCTTCATGGGAGGTGTATGAGGCCCTGGGAGGTGTAAGATGGGCGCACCTGGTATGAGGTAGATGTCGTCGTCTGTCTGCCTTAAAGCCCTGCTTCATGGGAGGTGTATGAGGCCCTGGGAGGTGTAAGATGGGCGCACCTGGTATGAGGTAGATGTCGTCGTCTGTCTGCCTTAAAGCCCTGCTTCATGGGAGGTGTATGAGGCCCTGGGAGGTGTAAGATGGGCGCACCTGGTATGAGGTAGATGTCGTCGTCTGCCTTGACGTAGAACTCGGCTTCATAGAGCTTGAAGAGTGATGTGAAGTACACGAGACTGGGGGATGGGGGATAGGGAAATATATGAAAACAGGTAGAGAAATGATTGAGAGGAGTTCAACAGTACTGCATTTTGTTACTAGGAAACCTATAGATTACGAATCGTATCACACCAATGCAACAAAAACAAGTAGGCAGCAGGGATGGACGAAACTCCACAGGAACTACACCAGGTATGCGGAAGGCACGAGGAAGGAACGGGGAAGGTACGAGGAAGGTACGTGGAAGGTACAAGCATAAGGGGCTTCAGATGCAGCAGCACGCGAGGAAGAAGCATAATAGCAGGCAGGCAGCATTTCACGCTATCTATCATAAAAGGAGAGCCACTCACACCTTGCGGTTGGCGTTGAACTCCCTGCAGCATAATAACAGCGAGCATTTCACGCAGGACAGCATCTCACGCCTAGTGGTTGAAGCTGGCCTTGTCCACGTGGATGCGAAGCAAGTCCCCATGAGTGGTTGAACACTGTCATCAAAGGGGGGGGAGCAACTCATGCCTTGGAGTTGGCATTGAAGCTGGCCTCGTCCACGTGGATGCGAAGCGAAGTCCCCGTGAGTGCTGTTCTCCACCTGCAGCTGCTCCTCGTCCTCCGCGCTCCACACATTTCACGCCATCTATCATAAAAGGCGAGCAACTCACGCCTTGCGGTTGACATTGAAGTCTGCCTCGTCCACATCGATGCGAAGCAAGTCCCCGTGAGTGCTGTTCTCCACCTGCAGCTGCTCCTCCTCCTCCGCACTCGTGCCGTGCCCGATAATGAACCGAAACACCAGCCCCGCCTCTGCTTCCAAGCTGAAATGCGTGTAGTGGGGAGGAAGGGGAGAGGATGGGGGGAGGATGGGGAGGGCAGGACACCTACATCATCTCCTCGTCCTCTGCGCTACACTCATTCCCGATGATGAACCGAAACACCCGCCCGGCCTCTGCTTCCACTCTGGAATGCGAGTGAAAGGGGGAGGACGGGGAGGGGGGGAAAAGGTGCAGAGAGGGCGCATCGCTTCACAGCACCTCGTCCTCCGCGCTCCACCCATTTCCGATGATGAACCGAAACACCAGCCCCGTTTCTGTTTCCAGTCTGGGGAACATGTGAATAGTAGGACGAGGAGGGCGGGGAAGGGGGGGGAAAAGGCGCAGAGAGGGCACAAGCCATGTCAACCGGAACACATACCGCATCCAAAGCACATCACATCACATCACATCACATCACATCACATCACATCACATCACATCACATCACATCACAGCACATCACTGCATCACATCACATCACTGCATCACATCACATCACATCACATCACATCACATCACATCACATCACATCACATCACATCACATCACATCACATCACATCACAGCACAGCACATCACATCACATCACATCACATCACATCACATCACATCACATCACATCACATCACATCACATCACATCACATCACTGCATCACATCACATCGGGATCCTGCCGTGCCAAATGATGAACCAAATCGCAAGCCATGTCGCTGCTTCCACCCTGGGAGACACGGCAAGGTGGAAGGGGGGTGGAAAGGAAAGGGGGGCAGAGAGAGCACGCCTCTTTCCTCCTCGTTCACCCTGGGCTGGGATTCACGCCAAGGTGGGGGGGGAGGGCGGGGGATGGAAAGGGGGGCAGAGAGAGCACGCTTCTTTCCTCCTCGTTCACCTAGCTCCTGCCGTGGCCGAACCCAAACACCACCAGCCACCTTGTCGCTGCTTCCACCCTGGGCTGGCTGGGAGACACGCCAAGGTGGGGGGGAGGGTGGGGGGTGAAGCGGAGAGGAGAGGTCGGCAGAGAGAGCACGCTTCTTTCCTCCTCGTTCACCCTGGGCTGGCTGGGAGACACGCCAAGGTGGGGGGAAGGGTGGAGGGGGAAGAGGAGGGGAGAGGGGGGCAGAGAGAGCTTATTTCTTTGGGCGGGGGGCTAGGGGGCTTTGGCGGAGGGCTCGGAGGCTTCGGGGGAGGGGGGGGTCTGGGCGGGGGGCTAGGGGGCTTTGGCGGAGGGCTCGGGGGCTTGGGGGGAGGGCTGGGGGGAGGAGGCGGCGGGCTGGGGGGCGGCGGAGCGGCGACGAATCGCTGCGCGCAGACGGCGGTGGCGAAGTAGCTCCACCCGTCCTGCACGGCGCCGAGCGTGGCGAAGAACGCGGTGCCGTAGTCGAGCGCGCCGTCCTGCACGAGCCGCACAACGTAAAGCCCCTCCGGCAACGCCACGTAACCAACGCTCCTCCTGTGCGCTCCTCCTGTGCGCTCCTCCTGTGTGCTCCTCCTGTGCGCTCCTCCTGTGCGCTCCTCCTGTGCGCTCCTCCTGTGCCAGGTGATAGACCGGCGGAACCAGGCGTGTTATTGTTTCCACCCTGAGATGTACGTTCTAAGGGGAGGGGGAAGGACAGGGGGAAGGACAGGGGGAAGAGCAGGGGGAAGGGCAGGGGGAAGGGCAGGGGGAAGGGCAGGGGGAAGAACAGGGAGAAGGGCAGGGGGAAGGACAGGGGGAAGGACAGGGGAAAGGACAGGGGGAAGGACAGGGGGAGGGACAGGGGGAAGGACAGGGGAAAGGACAGGGGGAAGGACAGGGGGAGGGACAGGGGGAAGGTGCAGAGAGGGCACAATCCCATCGCATCGTATCGCCTATCATCGCCTCGTCGCCGCGCTCCTGCCGTGCCCGATGATGACCCGAAACACCAGCCTCGTCGCCGCTTCCACTCAACGATACGCCTCACATTGCCCCCACGCCATCACACCTCTACCCCATGCCCCCATGGAATGCCCATGTCCCCATGAATGGCCTACCGCGCGTGCTCCTCGGGCGTGGCGGGGAACCACGTGTCGCGAAGCAGCGAGCGCCTCTCGCGGCTGGAGAAATCGGTGAACACCCCGACGAGCCCCACCACGCGCTTCCTGCCCGGGTACCGCAACCGATCTGCACTCCTCTCCGCGTCAACCATCCCTCGCGGCGGTTCCGCTTCTTCCTTCCGTCGCGACAGTTCCGCTTCTTCCATCCATCGCGGCGCCGGTTCCGCTTCTTCCATCTTCCGCGGCGCGTCCGCTTCTTCCATCACCCCCAGGTCCGTCTCCGAGTCGCCCATGCTCCCTCGGAGGTCCGACAGCGGTCCGATCACGTCAATCATCGCCGCAACTCCGCCAACGGGCTTTAACTCGTCCTGCGAGTCGGATTCGATCGCCGCCGTCCATGCGGGAGCGATGCAACTGTATCTGAGCACGAGGATATGTAACAGGAACAAGAGCGGGATGGTTACTAGGAGTAGGAAGAGGGACCAGGACACGCGCGACGACGACGCGAGCGGCACTCGCGGCGACTCGACGGACGGTTGATCTTTGAGGGTCATCAGCGGGTAGAACCAATGAAAGTTCTTTATTGAGTCATTCGCGAATATTTTATGAGGCGCCTCGAATACCATCAGTAGATAACCGCCGTCAGCGAACGGCCTTATTGAGGCTTTCACCGGGACAGACATTCTGAGAGCAAATGGATGGCTTGTCTGGCGAGCTCAGGGGTTGAGGCTATCATTTGGGAAAAATAGAAACAAAAGATTTGGACCTGAGCAGCCATATATCTGGAGCAGCGGCTGACGAGACGGACCCTCCTCGTCAGTCACTGCGGCCACCAACTCCCAAGACTCCATCGACGATGAGCACTTGCCGGCCAACGTCGTTAGTCCCCCCTGTGCATTGGGGATTGCGAGGGAGAAAGAATCGAGCTTGTCGAAAGTGGATATGGTCAAGCGATTAGGGAATTTGGAAGGTTTTCCAACAGTGATTGTGGTCAACAACACCGCAATGTGTTCTGGGCTTGTGTATGCGGATTGCGCTGCGCAGTCATGCCACACGGCGAGCTTGGTCTTCTCTCGTCTTCTCTAGCAAAACTTGAGAGGCGGAAAACGGGCGGAAGCCACGTTGTGCGAGAGAAGTTGGCGAGATTTGCGGTCTCGCCAGTTGGTTTTCTGGAATTGGCTGAACCAAGGACAATAGGTTGACGAAAGCATACGACGGCTGTTAGCGAGAAAGAGAGGAGGGTGGAGGGGGAGGAGGGGGGAGTGGGGGGAGTGGGGGGAGTGGGGGGGAGAATGGGGAAAGGGAAGGGGGATAGCGACGTGTTGCGACCCACACGGATTGGGTCGACCACCCCCCGACCCATCAATTCTAGGAAGGCTGCATCGCGGGTCTAGCCGACCAGGTCGAGCCAACCAGACCCGGTTGGGTCTGCCTACCTGGGTCGACCAGGTCGGCTCAACCAGGCCAACCAGACCCAACCCAATCGAGCTGGAAACGTTACCATAGTCTGCGAACTTCAGAGTTCTCGTGCAAATGCCGCCTCAAATTCGCCGCACAGAATGATACCCTGTAATATCGATGCGAATTTTCCAGCTCACCATCCCCCCGCCCGGCAACTGCTTTCCTGGTCCCTCGAGGATGCACGGAAATCGACGGGAAAGTCCGTAATTTCCCGAGTCGCGTTTCCGAAGATCTGGTCGGGTTGGGTTTAGCCGACCAGGTCGAGCCGACCCAACCCAATCTCTTTGGGTCGCAACACGTCGTAAAACAACGCACGTGCGATGGATCAAACAACGCAAGTTTCGTACACGGGACGAAGCTCCTCGACCGTGCGATGCGAACACGACAGTCCCGCATTAGCTCCTCTTTAAGCTTCGGAGCTTATATTGGGTTGGAATGGGGCGTATATCCTTACAAACAAGGCATGCTACATCATGTAAACAATTCACATATTTTTTTCTGTTTCCTTCTCCCAGCAAGGCATGCAGACAGCACCGGGCGGTCGGGCATCCCCCGCACAGCCACAACGGACGGCATAAACATTTATGGAGAAACCCCCAGCTCGTGTGGTAACCCTGGATATACACGATTCAATCGATCACAGCACAGCAACAGCAGCAGGAGATAAATGACATACACACTTGCTTTCTGTGTGCATCTCTTGAATCAATCACACAAGGGTTAAAATGTGTGTGTCCCAGAGCACGCGGGGTTTCGATGAAGCTCCTTCATCTGCACATACGGCCGGCAGAGGCCGGCACAGATTGGCTCCCAGAGAGCCACAGCAGAGGGCGTGCAGTTCTTCTGACAGAGAGCATATGACTTCTCATGTTGCACGTCGAAGGCAAGCATCCACGCTCCCACTGACACATCCTCGTTTGTGAACATGCTCAGCCTGCAATCAGGAGAGTAAGGAGACCAAGAGATGGGAGAACAGCACTTTCTTGCAGAGCACGTACTGAAGAGTATTTCTGAGAGAGACGCGATTCAGAATTCCTTGGCAGCATTCCTTCCACGTGCTGCAAAGGAGTAGAGAGGGTGTTTTTGAGACGTCGCGAAAACACCCTCTCTACATGTGTATTTTTTAGTGAGACGCAAATCAGCATTCCTTGGCAGCATCCCTTGGCAGCATCCCTTGGCAGCATTCCTTCCACGTGCTGCAAAGAAGTACCTTCGCAGCTAAGCACCTACCTGTTGAGTGCATTTGCTGCAAAGCACACACATCCCACCCCATTGCAAGATAAGCACGGCCCTCCTGGTTATAAGGCAGGCATGGCTCAGCCACCCTTGGGAACAAAATTAAGGGTGTTAATCACAGGAAATAACAGCATGCATGTTTCACCCGTCCTCGGGGATTGCGGTGAGAACATTGATCATGTCGTACGGGAGCAAGTAGGGTGCATTGGCAGTCAACCACACACATCCCACCTCATCACACGATAAGCAAAGCCCTCCTTGTTACAAGGCATGCATAACTCACCAACTCTTGGGAACGAAGTTGAGAAGGCTGGACATGCATGCTTGGCTCGGTAGATATAAGCATGCATTTCGAAATCACTTTCGAGAATTCTCAAAAGTGATTTCAATATAGAAGGCTGAAAATGCATGCTTGACTCGGTAGATATAAGCATGCATTTCGAAATCACTTTTGAGAATTCTCAAAAGTGATTTCAATATAGAAGGCTGAAAATGCATGCTTGACTCGGTAGATATAAGCATGCATTTCCCACTCACCCGTCGTCGGGGATGGCATTGAGAATGTTGACGAGATCGTAGGAGAGCAGGTAGATGGCTCCGAACGCATGCAGCAGATACCATGCACTGCCCCCCCGTTGCACGACCAATGCAAGACAAGCACGACTCACCCGTCGTTGGGGATGGCGTTGAGAATGTTGACCACGTCGTAGGAGAGGGCGTAGATGGCTCCGAAGGCATGCATGAAGTAGTGCGACCCCAGCAGCCACGACTTGCGCTCATACCTGTGCGGAACAGAACACAAGAGAACAAACACAGGAACATGACTTTTGAGACGTCTCAAAAGAACTCATGCATGAAATAGTGCGACCCCAGGCCCAGAAGCCACGACTTGCGCTCATACCTGCAAAGAACAGAACACGAGAAAACAGAAACATTGAGATGTGAGGATTGAGTAGGAGAAGAGCAGTTAGCAGGATAGGGATAGGTTGTCGCATTGTTCACAAGACAGCTCAAGGGAACAGCAGGACCGTTCCTCTGGCTCCGAATGCGTAACAAGACAAGCACAACACATTCGGATCATTACGACGGCCTGACTGGTTCAGAAACTGAGTATAGTGTATGCTGCCTGGATTGAGAAAAATGCCCAAAGGAGTGCGGGAGAGAGAGCAACTAGGTGTAATATGCGTGACAAGACAAGCACAACACATTCGGAACATTACGACGGCCTGACTGGTTCAGAAACTGAGTATAGTGTATGCTGCTTGGATTGAGAAAAATGCCTAAAGCAGTCCCAGAGAGAGCAAACTAGGTGTAATATGGCAACTCACCACTTCATATCAGGGTTAGTGCCCACAGTTCCCCTCTTCATGCATCCAATGTAGGTTCGAGATGAGTTCCTTGGCCTGGCGATCAGAGAGGAGAGGCGGTCTGCAGGGTTGAACAGAAACAGGCAGCAGGCAGGGAGGGAGGGAGTGGCACCCGTGAGAGAGGAGAGGCGGTCTGCAGAGAGGAGAGGCGGTCTGCAGAGAGGAGAGGCGGTCTGCAGAGAGGAGAGGCGGTCTGCAGAGAGGAGAGGCGGTCTGCAGGGTTGAACAGAAACAGGCAGCAGGCAGGCAGGGAGGGAGTGGCAGTCGTGAGAGAAAGGACTTTCAATGTCGCAAGCAACATGGGATCCTCATCACACCTTCTTCAGAAATATAAAAATGATAAGAAAACTTACACGTAATAATAGATACTCCGCAGCACAGAATGCCTTCACTCACATACCCAAGCGCTACGTGGGTGGGCTCAAATGGATGTCCCCATCTGGCTGACACTACATAGAATCATGTTTCAGAGCGCTTGAGTTTTGAGACGTCATAAAACCCGGCCATACAGGGCCCTGGGAGGTGTAAGATGGGCGCACCTGGTATGAGGTAGATGTCGTCGTCTGCCTTGACGTAGAACTCAACTTCATAGAGCTTGAAGAGAGTCGTGAAGTACACGAGACTGGGGGATGGGGGATGGGGGAGAGGAGGGCAGGAGGGGACAGGAGCGAGGAGAACTTGAAGAGTGTAGTGAAGTACACGAGACTGGGGGATGGGAGATAGGAAATCACGGGAGCAGGTGAAGTAATGAGTCAGGAGAGATTAACAGTCTGAAAGGTACAAGGAAGGTGAAAGGAAGGTACATGCATTGGCAGCTTCACGTGAGGAAGAAGCATAACAACACCGCATCACCTCATGCTGTCAGCAAAAGGAGCCCCTCACGGCGCCATCATGCGAGCCCCTCACATCGCCATCATGCGAGCCCCTCTCATCGCCATCATGCAAGCCCCTCTCATCGCCATCATGCGAGCCCCTCTCATCGCCATCATGCGAGCCCCTCTCATCGCCATCACTCAACGACCCTCTCACATCGCGAAGAAGAAGCATAACATCGCCATCCATTTCGCGATCGCGCGAGCCGCTTACGTCTTGCGGTTGAGATTGAGGTACGACTCTTGCACGTCGATGCGAAGGAAGTCCCCGTGAGTGCTGTTCTCCGCCTGCAGCATCTCCTCGTCCTCCACGCTCCTCCCATGCCCGACTATGAACCGAAACACCAGGCCCAATGTTGCTTCCGCGCTGGGGAATAAGCGAATGGCGGAGGACGTGGAGGGGGAAAGGGGAGCAGGGAGGGCACGGCTCATATCACACTCCTCCGCGTCTCCATGCCCGACTATGAAGCGAAACACCAGGCCAAGTGTTGCTTCCGCGCTGGAGATTAATGCATGGAGGGAGAGGGGGCGGTGGAGGGGGAGGTGGAGGGGGAATGGGTTGCAGAGAGTCCACACATCATAACAACCAGAACACCAAGCCCAATGTTGCTTCGGTCATGGGAATAAGCAAATGGCGGAGGGAGGACGTGGAGGGGGAAAGGGGTGCAGGGAGGGCACAGCTCATATCACACTTAGACTCGATTTTTCATTGTTTTCTGCAATTGAAAATCGTGCGATGTGCTTCCACACCCAGAACTGCGCTCGAGGGGGGGGAAGGTGAAGAGAGCGTGCACATCACATCCCATCCCATCCCATCACATCCCATCCCCCTCCCCTCCCCTCCCCTCCCCTCCCCTCCCCTCCCCTCCCCTCCCCTCCCCTCCCCTCCCCTCCCCTCCCCTCCCCTCCCCTCCCCTCCCATCCCATCCCATCCCATCGCATCCCACCCCACCCCATCCCATCCCATCCCATCCCATCCCATCCCATCCCATCCCATCCCATCCCATCCCATCCCATCCCATCCCATCCCATCCCATCCCATCCCATCCCAGCGCATCCCATCGCATCCCAGCGCACCCACGCCATGGCCCCACGGGCATACCCCGCGTGCCCCAATGCCATGCCCCTATGAACGGCCTACCGCGCGTGCTCCTCGGGCGTGGCGGGGAACCACGTCTCGCGAAGCAACGCGCGCCTCCTGCCGTTTTTGAAACCGGTGTGAACCCCGACGAACCCCTTCACGCGCTTCCTGCCCGGGTATCGCAACCGATCTGCACCCCTCTCGTCCATCCCTCGCATGTCCGCCTCGTCTATCGCTCGCGGGTCCACCTCTTCGATGATCTCCCCCCGGTCCGGCTTTTGAGTCGACTCAGAAATCCCTCGCGGGTCCACCTCGTCGATCTCCCCCGGGTCCGCCTCTTCGATGATCCCGAGGTTCGCCTCGCCCATTTCTCGCACGTCCGCCGCCTCGCCCATTTCTCGCACGTCCGCCGCCTCGCCCATTTCTCGCACGTTCGCCGCCTCGCTCATTTCTCGCACGTCCGCCACCTCGCTCATTTCTCGCACGTCCGCCGCCTCGTCCATCCCTTGCGGGTCCGCGCCGGCCAACGGTCCGATCTCATCGGTTGCTTCATCCGGCGCCGGCGGCTTTTGAGACGTCTCATAACTTGCTTCAACCGGCGGCGGCGCCGGCTTTTGAGACGTCTCAAAACTTGCTTCAACCAGCGGCGGCGCCGGCTTTAACTCCGAGTCGGATTTACTACTATTCAAGAGGCTCTTCCATGACGGGGACGCGCCGAATCCGGCGAACGAGCAACTGTATCTTATAACGAGGACATCTGCAAGGGCGAAGAGCGCGACGGCTAGGAGTAGGAAGAGGGACCAGGACACGCCGCGCCATGATGACGTCAGCACGCGCGGCGGCGCGGTGACGGACTTGGGACCCTTGAAGCTCATGAGCTGGTAAACCCAAGGAACGGCGCCGGTTTTACTGTTCTTTCACGGAATATCGGGACCGACTTTTTCTGGGAGCAAATCGAGGGCTACCATGGCGAAGTAATTTCAGGCTGAGGTTATCGTTTTGGGGAAACAAGACGCTCTGTTCTGTTCCCGCTGAGCGAGCACTGCCATGGGTTTGCCTTTGCTCATATTGCTGCCAGGCGGTGACCGTCTTCCACTCCCACACCCCATCGACGATGTGCCCGTGTTGGACAATGTCGGTCCCTACGCAGCAGCGTCGATCGATGTCTTGCGGTCAACTGACCATGGGCAGACTAGAACACCAATCGCGGGAATGCGGTGCACGCGCCAGGCGAACACCACCTGCATGGGGTTCCTTGTCTTTGCCCACGGGTAGCTGACGGGAAGTCTTGATACCCGACTACTAATTCCCTGAGTTCTACAGTGTCGTATCTGTCGTACGTGTGAATGCGTCAACTTTACGAGAGCTGAATCCGGCGCACATCGTCAGGAATGAAAGCTGCACTCGATGTTGGCAGTGATTGGTGCCACCGCATCCCACCACGCCTGGTGTTATATGAGTAAGCTCAAAACGCATTCCACCACGTCTTCACCTGTGCCGGCCGCCATCAAGAAGATTGGTTCCAGCCCGAACCTGATTTTTGTTTACGCGATATAGGATCGCAGGGTACATGTCTTTTGATATGATTGGTGTAATGAGCTTAGGTATATGATAGGAGTATAGTTGGTAAGACTATTGGGCTTATAATGTTTCTCCTCTTTACAATGGTTACCTACGAAGAAAACCTGCCGATATAGGATACCTAACCCCACACAAGCTACCCAGGGATCTTCACTGGGGGGGGTAGAGTCTTTAACTGGAAAATTATATACATATTTGGGTTTTAAGGTTACATATGGGAACAATGAACAGTGTATCTGGTGGATGATCATCCAATTGTTACCGTACGCACCCAGCAGACAAGCCAAACCAGGGTTCGTTCTTGCAAGATGATCTCGCAATCTTGCGAACAATTACCCAACCGAAACGGGTGACCGTGATGTACTCGGGCTTTGCATTGGAAGCTTCCCCGCGCAAGCAGGGTTTTCATGTAGCTCCTTCATTCGCACATCAGGGTTGCAGACGCCAGAACACCTGAAATCCCAGATAGCCACAGCAGTGGGAGTGCATACTGTCTGGCAGAGAGATGGCGCTTTCTGATGCGACACGTTAAAGGCGAGCATCCATGCTCCCACACTCGCATCCTCGTTCACAAACATCCTCAGCCTGCGAGGATAAGAGTTGGTACAGTAACAGAAACAGAGATCGGAGAGCAAGAGTTGGGCTTAGTACAGAGGTTGTACTGAATCGTATGGTATCTGTTAGGGTTTAATGCATTCCTGTTGAGTGTATTGACTGCCGACCAGTCACATCCCACTTCGTTGCAAGATAAGCACGGCACTCCTCGTGACAAGGCATGCACGGCTCACCTCACCCACCCTTGGGAATGGAGTTGAAAACATTGGCAATGCATGACTCAGAAATCTAGAGAAATCTCAGCAATCGAGAGAAATCTCACTAGTTTTATTAGGGGGAGGGAAGTTGAGGAGTTTAACCACGTCGTGCGAGAGGAGATAGATGCGACCGTCCGTCGGCATGCAAGGAATAACTTTTGAGAATTCTCAAAAGTGATTTCAATATATCCGTCGGCATGCAAGGACTACCATGCACAGCTCACCTGGTTGCAAGACAAGAGCAACTCACCAGCCCTTGGGGAGGAAACTGAGAATCTTGACCGCGTCGTACGAGAGGGAGTAGATGGAACCGGACGCATACTTGAAATACTCCGGCCCTAGCAGCCACGCCTGGGGCTCAAACCTGCGCAGCAGAACAGAAACAGGAAGAGGTCAATAACGAGTACGAGAACATCGGTGAGCAGGTTAAGGATACGTTGTTGCATTGTTTTGCGAGATAACTCACGAGAACAGCATGAGAGGTCGCCCAGACTGGGTGCATATAAAAACGTTGAGAAATGCGCAGAGGTGTCCACCATAACCCTAAATTCTTTTGAGACGTCTCAAAAGATGCCCAGAGGTGTCCACCACAACCCTAAATTCGGAAAACTAGGAGCATTCGACTGCTTCAAAATCGAATGTACACCGTATAACACTAGGTACACTGTATGCTGCATGGACCAACCAAGAGAGCAGCCAAAAGGAGTGCCAGCGAGCGTGACCTAGGTGTAATACGGCAACTCACCACTTCTTCTTGGGGCTAGTAATCACAATTCCCCTTTGGAAGCATCCAATGTACGTTCGAGATGACTATCTTGGCTTGGCGATCAGAGAAGAGAGGCGGTCTGTAGGGATGAACAGAAACAGGAAGCAGAAAGTGGGACTCGCGTGAGCGAGGACGTTCAATGTTGCCAGCAACATATGACGATCCAAGCTGCGTTCGAGGTGACTCCCTTGGCGTGGCGATCAGAGAAGAGAGACGGTCCGCAGGGATGAGCAGAAACAGCGAGCAGAGGGTGGGATGGTGTGAGCAAGGGCTCTCAGTGGCGCCAGCAATGTATGATCCTCATCATCAGAGCATGAGCGCACCACATCACATGCCGCGTGTATAATCCTCATCATCAGAGCATGAGCGCACCACATCACATGCCAAGTGTATAATCCTCATCATCAGAGCATGAGCGCACCACATCACATGCCGCGTGTATAATCCTCATCATCAGAGTATAAGCGCACCACATCACATGCCGCGTGTATAATCCTCATCATCAGAGTATAAGCGCACCACATCACATGCCGCGTGTATAATCCTCATCATCAGAGTATAAGCGCACCACATCACATGCCGCGTGTATAGTCCTCATCATCAGAGTATAAGCGCACCACATCACATGCCGCGTGTATAATCCTCATCATCAGAGTATAAGCGCACCACATCATATGCCGCGTGTATAATCCTCATCATCAGAGTATAAGCGCACCACATCACATGCCGCGTGTATAATCCTCATCATCAGAGTATAAGCGCACCACATCACATGCCGCGTGTATAATCCTCATCATCAGAGTATAAGCGCACCACATCACATGCCGCGTGTATAATCCTCATCATCAGAGCATAAGCGCACCACATTACATGCCGCGTGTATAATCCTCATCATCAGAGCATAAGCGCACCACATCACATGCCGCGTGTATAATCCTCATCATCAGAGTATAAGCGCACCACATCACATGCCGCGTGTATAATCTGTCAAACACTATATGTGTTGTTGTTGTGTAGGCTATAATGGGTTAGCCTTTAGGGGGTACACAAAACTAGGGTTTGCTACTTGTACTCCAACTTTTCATAGTTTACACACTTCTTGATTCTGACATGGTATTAAGAGCTATAGGTTCTAGACCTAAGGGCCCACCGTTCCGCTAGTGGTGCCCTCGTGCGCCCTTTTTTTTTAGCGCCCTCGTGCGCCTCTCCTCTCGTGCGCCCTCATGCGCTCTCCTCTCACGCTGCCCGTGTGCAGCCCGCTAGCAGCCCGAGCGCGGCCCCGCCGTTTTAGCACGCGTAGGAAAACCGCCGCCTAGGGCGGCTCGATTTTTTTTCTCGCGAGCCCCAGCAGGCCGTCGCCCGTACGCCCCGCTAGCCCCTAGGCCGACGCGCGACCCACAGCCGCCCGCCCGTAGGCCCCGCGGCGATCGCGCGCCGGCTGCTGCAGCCCGCGCTAGAACGCAGCCGCGGCCCGCGCGCTTAGCCGCCGCTAGACGCAGCCGCGGCCCGCGCGCAGCCGCACCCTAGGCGCCGCCGCGCACCGAGCATAGGCCCGGCGTCGCGCCGCCCTACCCACCCGAGCCGCGCCGCCCGAGTCGCGCCGCCCGAGTCGCGCCGCCCGAGTCGCGCCGCCCGAGCCGCGCCGCCCTGACCGAGTCGCGCCGCCCTACCTGCTCCTACTGCTACTACTATTGCTACTGCTACTGCTGCTACTGCTACTACTGCTACCTGCTACTGCCACTATGGCCAGTCCCACTGTTCTCACCTTTGATGCCGAGGGCCGCCCGATTAAGTTCGATGTCTGGCTTGATGACCTGCCCTGTACCTCCAGATCACTGCCAAGGACGATGTTTCCCTCTATGACCACACGTCCGGCGCTGCTCCCGCACCTCCCGCTACTGCTGACAGCACTGCTCGCTCCCAGTGGCAGACCCGTGATGCTCACGCTCGCCTAGCCGTTCGCAGTCACCTACCGTTAGATGAGTGCGAGCACTTCGGACAGCATAAGACCGCCAAGGAGCTGTACGACGCAGTAGTCGCGCGCTACTCCTCCCCTGCCACTGCTGCTATAGGCCGTCTCTCACTGCCCTACCTCTTCCCCGACCTGTCCGCCTTTGCCACTGTAGCTGACCTCATCACCCACCTCCGTACCAGTGACCTCCGCTACCGTGCCGCGCTCCCCCCCGATTTCCTCGCCAAGAACCCCCCCCGATGTACCTCACACTGTACCACCTTGTCACCCGCCTCCCTGACTCCCTTCGCACTGTCAGGGACCAGTTTCTCGCCCTCTCCCCCACTGACCTCACTGTCGACCTCCTCGAGAAGGAGCTCCTAGCAGCTGAGAAGAGCATTGTCGCTGTAGGTGCCTCTCGTGGTGACCCCCGCACCCCCTTCTTTGAGGGGTGCTCCCCCTCCCCCCTCCTCCCCTCCATTGCATCTGCTGCTGCTGTCGACTACCTCGGAGCTGAGAGGGTCGGGGCCGCGTCTGCTCCTAGTGGGAGACGCAAGGGCGGCAGGGGCAAGGGGGGCAGGGGTGGTGGAGGTGGAGGAGGGGGCGGCGGCGGTGGAGGAGGTGGGGGGGGCGGGGGTGGTGGCGGGAGTGGGAGTGGCGCGGGTGGTGGGGGGGTCAGTGGCGGCACAGGGGGTGGTGGCGGCGGCGACGGTGGTGGGGGTGGTGGAGGTGGTGCTGGCAGTGGTGGCGGCGGTGGAGCGGGTG